ATCGATGCTTTGCGCCGTATGATTAAAACGGACAGGCATGTGACATACCATGGGATTCGGGCATCTTTAGGCATAGGCATGAGTCAAATACAATCAACACTACACAAACATTTGGGTGTGAAAAAGCTGTGCTTTCGATCCCACACAATTTGACTGAGGCTTAAAAAACGGATCCCGTGACTTGTTGCAATGCCATGCTTACCAGATTCAACGAAGGGGCATCAAATTTGGTATAGGACATAGTAACAGGTGACGAAACATGGATTTGTAGTTACGATCCCAAAACAAAGCATCAATCAAGCGTATGGGTCTTGAGAGACGAGCTGAACCATCCAAAGTGGCGCGCGCTCAAAGTGCCTCTAAGCGGAAGATTGCTTCTTTTTTTAACAAAACTGGACACGTGGCTACTGTAGCTTTGGAGAATCATTGTACCATGAGTAGTGATTGGTACACGACCATTTGTTTGCCGGAAGTTATTGACAAACTCCGTAAAAATAACCGTAAACGCCGTATCATCTTGCACCACGATTATGCCAGTTCTCACACGGCCAGACAGATAAATGAACTTTTGAAGGTGAACAACGTTGACCTTATGAGCCATCGCGGGTACAGTCCCGACCTGGCACCTTATGACTTTTATTTATTTCCAAAAATTAAGAACCAGTTACGCGGACAACGATTTTCATCACCTGAAGAGGCTGTCGAAAAGTATGAAAAATATGTTTCTCAGAGATTGTCACGGAGAAGTGGCATAAATGTTTTCAAAATTGGTTCATTCGTATGAAAAAGCGCATTAACGCTAACGGAGAATATTTTAAGAAACAATAAATTCATTTCTGACCATTTACGGTATTTTTTTTTATTCATTCCGGAAACTTATAGTGCGCCCCACGTATTGTAATAACTGTAAGTGAACCAAAAACACCCAATTTCTGAAACATTATGAAGGTTTCCGGGAAGTGATCGCTATATCCGAGTTTCCTGCATAGTTATAATTTTCTCGCAATCGTAGAAATTCCTCTCCAAGTTTAACTCCATCGCCATTAAAATCGGAACATCGAACCTCTTGAAACACGTAGACACGGAAAGGATTCCAAGGAAATGGGAAACTTGCGAACGTTAATTTTGAAGCGTCATTCAAAAGTTTAGTACGCTCTTACGCTCGTTCGCCTTATTTTAATTGCACTACTATACGTGAGTGTACGGTATGCGTCGACTCCAAAACGACGTAGTTCTGAGTACGGGTTTCCACTAAAGATAGTGCCTAGGCCAATTGAAATATTCACACGTTTTCAAAGCGTTGTACGAAAATAAATAAATAAATATTAGATCGCATCACATACGTTGCTCTGATCCCAAAGTAAGTAACTACAATAAGTGCGTTGTGGAAATCGAATACAACGACGGAACCACAAAAACCCAGACCCGAGAAAATATAGAGAAGTTAGTTTTCTACATTGACTCGACCGGGGATCTATCTTACCATGAAAACGGGTGTGCAAACCGCTCGACCACAGACGTCGTCGGTTTTTGAATGTATCTGACATTTTCTTTTCTAAAAACCGGAGTAATGTCATGACATATTTTCATGTTTAAACCATTACAACAGAATAGTAATATAATCTTTATGTCTTTAAGTAGCATGCCAGCCTTTACCTGGCACAAATAAGATGTATATCTTTATATTAGCTTAATGCTAATAGCCTATGGGCCATCTCCCAGTGGAGTTACATCACTGAAAATAGCTGAAGGCGATGGGGAAAATAAACATTACTGAGGGTACGCCCTCAAACACAGGTGGCCTTCTGGCGTTTGTGGCTTAACGATAAATATCACTTAATCCGGACCTTGGAGAGACCTTTTATTACCTCTGTCAAGAATATTTTTCGATACAAAAAGTAATGACGCAATGTACGACTTGTTTTGAATGATTGTTATCTAAATTTGAATCCTTTTACATAGATAAAAGAAATTGAGTTCCTTCTTGAATTTGATTATGCCTTGAAGCGATCTTGCGTTTGAAATTTTAATACATACATATAATTTAATGCATACATACAGATTTTACAAGCTTTAGAGCTCCTTGTGAAAAAGTTCATCCAGGGAAATACTGCCACCTTACCTATTTGTGCCGCCAAGCAGTAATGTGACCGATGTGTTCCGGTATTGAAGATAAATGTGCTGGTGACATTACAGGCACATGAGACTTGTCAACTTATGTCTCAGGGTTACGAGCGCAGTGGCAGCGCGCCTCAGATCTTTGTGATTTAAAGCTCTAAATGGCACTGCAACTGTTATGATAGGCCCACGACTTGACCGTCTCGTCACTTGGTCTCATAAAAAAAAAGATATCATATATCGGAGAAAGAAACTGGGTAAAAGCTTTTTATCATAAACTTGTTATTGATGAAGTTAGGTTAAAAGTTGTTCTATCGATCTGTGTACTCAAAGTTTTGTTATTCACCAAGACGAAGTTCTTACGTAAACATAGTTATAAATACAAGAAGCCATAAATGAAAACATATTTAAATTTTCATTTTCTTTTCTGAAATATCGATATATAGCTTGTAAATAATAAATTTTTAAAAAGTGTTAAGTGTGCCCATGTGAGTATTCCGTAAATATAAAAGGTAAAAGTTTGTTATCTAATGAGTAAAACGACATTAATAACTTTAAAAAAATAAATCTAGACATCCACAATTTTAATGTTAATAGCTTCCACACATTTAATATGACATTCGTAGAGAGGCTGACCTACTTATAGAGGTAACAATAAGTTTACAGATAACGAAACTGCTATAAATAAAGTAATAAAACTATTTTTCAATTGAATAAAATAAAGTGATTTTTATTTTTAAGTAAGTACAAAATTTTGTATTCAAAGCAGTTGTCCGAAACTAAAGCCCCTTTGCGAAAGTCATATTAAACATATGGGAAACTTTAACGTCAAATTTTGTATATTTTTAGTTTTATTTAAAAAAAGTTATTGATGTCATTTTACTCATTAGGTTAGGCTACTTTCGATATCAGTTTAAAGGTATCTATAATGGGCGAACTTAAGATTAATCTGTTTAATGTATATGACATTATAAGTATAACACATCAAAATGCTGTGTATGGACGCAGAAAATTATTTTCTTATTCTAAGTTCATTCAATGATGCCAATCATAATTTTTGCAACTTTGTCTCTTATGATTAAGGAAACACGTACAAAACTTGATTGTTTTCGTTATACGTTCAGGTAGTTGACCAAAAGAATCATACAACGAGGTAAAACATAATGCTAGGCTATTCCACAGCTGTCATATTGTATTTCATTGTCTAGTTCAATTTCTTTTTCGTTACATAAATAAAACAAAATTAAGTCCCACGGGAATATAACGGTAACCTATCACAAAGTCGAACATTTTTTGTCCGAAATAACGATAGTTTTTCATTACACCGAAAACCAAATTATAACGAAGCAGTTGTTCTTTCAGGATATGTTGAATGTTTATCATAAAGACTCGATTAGGTTCGGTTAGGTTAGGTTAAGTTAGGTTTAAAAGAAAAAACATTTTCCTCTCAAAATTCCTTTCGAGGTAATGAAATTTCGACCAAACGTTATTTCTGGAAGGTGTCATTTCGGACTACTAATAGGTAACCGAATATAACCTACCACTGTCCAATGGTTTGCACGGTTTTTATGGTGTCGCTATCTCTGAGGTCCCGGGTTCTATTCGCGGCGGGATCAATGTAAAAATACTAACTTTTCTGTATTATCTCGAATCTGGGTATTTGTGTACCGTCATTGTTTCCGATTTCCATAACACAAGTGCTTAAGTTACTTAATTTGGGATCAGGACAAAGTAAGCGATTTTGTCTAATATAACTGCCTCTGTGGCTGAACGGTTACCATGCTCAACTGCCACGCAGAGGTCCCGGGTACGTGGCCTACTTTTATTTCTCTCGTGGGTTTGGGTGTAATTTGTGGTTGTCTATGTGTGTGTCCATGGCACCCGCGATGCAGGATTTGACTAGTACGGAGCTATGAATGTGTGCGCGTTATTTACTGTTTATTTATTTATTACCTACTGTCTCCGGTTACATAAGGATACTTTCTAAGCCCGGAACATTACTACCAGATTGTCAAGGTGGTTCTGGGTACAGAATTCTATTTAACGGAGCATTAAAGTTTTAATAAACTCTCGCTGTGCCTGTTAAACGGTGAGAGAAATGAAAGTGAAACTAATAACGCTATTTGTATATCAAATTGCAATCAAATTTTGTATGGCAATGCCCTTTTATGAACAATGAGAACCTAATAACAAAAAGTGAAATCATCATCTATCCATGTACGTTCCAGGAAGTGGGTCTTCGCTAAATATACCGTGTATAGTATAGTGTAGCTAGCTCGATTGCGATTGGATACTTCATAAATATTTTTGTGAAGAGTTTAAGAACGTGAAATTTTCCTTTGTAATTAACAGTCTCCTACAGAGGAGGTAAGCGTTCTCCCAACTAAGTTAAAAACCAACTCGGTAAAATAGTTTTTAATGAGAATAATATTTATTAAGTTCTTACAATAAATAGCAATAGGTATTTATCGAGTTGTTACACATAGGAATTTTTTTTTCAAATCTATGTCGCGTAAATTTTTTGCCCCTTTACAGGTCCCATGATCGTGAGAAAACAAATACACGTTATTTTGATCCGAAAAAATAGTTTCATTTTCTATGAAATGTAATATTTTTACTTATTTGTCATTAAAGTACGTGATCTTATTGTATAAGTTAAAAGTTCGTATTTATGATTTAGTAACTGACCTTGATATCGATTATAATTGAATCATAGAAGTATTAATTTATATTTCATATTCTTTCTGCCCTTTTCCCATTTCATTTGAGGTCCGGCCTCCTAATATTTCGGCGCCAAGTCGCTCTTTATTTATATATATTTTATCTTAATTTATATTTAATATAAAATTTCAATAGCTTATAAACTGGCTGGAAAAACTTACATAGATAATCTGCCGCCACATCTTCTTGAAATTTTCCAAACAAAATTCACTATTACATCAACAGACGGCTATTCCTACTTCTCCAATAGTCAAACAGGGCACAACACTGTTATGTTCGCGCGCTGCACCGCGGCTGCGTCGGTGCTGACTCTACCGTAGATAATAATGGCGCGATCGCCGGTCATGCTTGCTGTTTATATAAGATCTCCACCACAAACCAGCGCTTCATAATTCCAGTTACAATTTCGCGTTGTTTTATTGATGTTAGATCATTTTTAGTCGCACCCTGGCTTTAATTTGTAAAACAATTGATGCATGAAGCTCTGATAGATTATCTTCAGTGGAAGTGTGTCAAATTATCGTTTTTAGATTCTTTAATTGACTCTTACGCAGAACACAATTACGTCAACATTTCGTCATTCTGACTGATTTTATTGATTACCACAGTTAACCGAGAGAAGTATGCGTTACGGTATATACTTTCTCTACATATACTGTTTGGAATTACATTAATTTAATTGGAAGAATGAAATTCTCTATCTGAACCTATTCGACGATCCCGTTTACTGATTCCTTCAAACGACGTATTAAAGAATATTTCCATATCTCCAAAAGCCGTTTTTTTCTCTCTTTGCATAATGTTTTAATTTTCCTATGTTTATTTGCTTATTATTATTACTATTTATATTCGTACAAGAGTATTTAAGTAAATTTTATTATTACCTATATGTACACATTTATAGTATTCAATGTGTAGTGTATTCATTGGAAACACTTTCATTACATTAACTTTTATTACGGAACGAATAAGTTGTGCGCCTGGTAGTAAGTGACACGTCTATCATAACAGTTACAGTGCCATTTAGACCTTTAAATCGCAAAGATCTTAGGGACACTGCCGCTGCGCCCGTCACCCTGAGATATAAGTTGACAAGTCCCACGTGCCTGTAATTTCACCAGCACCCTTACCCTTCCAAACCGGAACGCAGTAATGTTCACATTACCGCTTGGCGACAGAAATAGGTAAAGTGGCACTACTTTAGACAGCTCTACTGCTACTAAAAATTCCTTAAACACATTCTTTGATTGCTTGATTGATTGATCTTTGGTCTCAAAGGGACTGACGTTGGACGTTGCAAAACATTGAGGTAATTAAAATATGTTTTATACGTGATTAAGTCCCGAGTTAAAAATCAAATAGTGTGAGAAAATCGTGAAAGTTTAAATGAAAAACTTTAAATCAAAGTACCTAGATAAAATTGCTACTTAGCAATAAAGCCGCCTTTTGTACATTAGCTGCTTCGTCATTGAAATGTTTTAAAATGCAATAAAGAATATTTCTTTCATTTATTCTTTCTTTCATCGTTTCCAAAAAAATTTAAGAGGTTAGTATAACAATACTGTTCTAAGTTTATCTTTTGCCACTTGCTTGCATATTCGAAATAAATGAATGACTATTTTATCATGTATTTTATGGTAATAATTTTCAATTTTTTAGTAATTTTCAATAATTTACAAAACAAAATTAATACGCTACGAAAAATTTACAAAATGGCGTGTAACGCACTGTTTCTACAGTAATAAAGAATTTATTTTAGAATTTAGAAATACTAATTAGGTTTCTTTGAAATCCTATAAACTACACAAAATTAATGAAAATTCCTTTAACATTTTCGTACGAGCTGGCAGTTTGAATACAACGTACAAAATTTTACTTAATGTAATTGTAATTACCGTATTCTAGCAAATAAACATTATATTTTAAGAAATCGGTTTTTGAAACACTATACAGGCTGTTAAATAATGAGATGACTCTACTCATGTTTATGGAGGCCTTTTCGCATATTCAATTTCAGAATAAATGTTCAACTGCCTACACAAAATTTCCATTCATTATTTTGAATGGAATGAAAAACAATCGAATATCGAACATTTTGATTTTGACATCCTCCCGTGAAACTTCAAACTTACTTTAATAAGAAGTCTTTGTTGCCCTTTTTAACCAGATTTGAATTTAAGAGCAGTACATAGACTGCCTAATTTTATTGTCAACCACTAATTATATTCAACATTTCTGTACCAGCAATTAACATTACGCTAACTCAAAAAATGGAACTTTCATCAGAGCCTATAAATGGGCTTTCAGACATGTAATAATGATTACGTTACTGCAAATTATTCGTATGATATACATGTAGAGCTGCTTTTGAATAGAGTTTGTCCACACAAGTACTCTCACAGTCTAATGACATACGGCATTTTGCTTTGGGGTAATGCCGCCTGTCATATCAATAGAAACTTTGTCCTGCAGAAACGTGCAGTTAGGGCAATTTACAATCTGGGCCCCAAAGTATCTTTGAGAGATAAGTTTAAGGAAATTAACATTCTTACATTAGCCTCACAGTACATTTATGAAAATGTAATTTATGTTAGTACAATAGTAATGTGAGAACAACGTATTCAGATTTTGAAGGATAAGGGTAAAATAACAGGCACATTGGACTTGACAAGTTATGTCTCAGGGTGACAGGCTCAATGGTACAGCAACTGCCACTCAGAGCTTTAATCGGAAATGGACTTGGTATTATATACAAAAAAACTTTTTTAACATTATAACCTAACCCGGTAACGTTTAGGGTAGTAGTAGACCGTTCCCATAAACTTTAAAAATCTATTCAACATATTTATTCCAATTATCAATTATTGTCTCCATTGGGCAAATCGCACAGAATAACAAACCTTCTATAGTGCAGAAAATAAACAACAAAAAATTCCTATCTGAAGAGTTTTTTTGTTTTCACTGCATTGACCGTATAATACAGAACATAGTAAAGATAATTGTACGTTATTTAGAGCTTGCTGAGCGTACACGTAGTGAATTCAACGAATTTCAAAAACCTTTTCCACCATATTTTTATATTTATTCCACCATAGCGTGAATAAAAAGCTTTTGACAATTCATACGCTTACTGGTAAGCGACACGCTTGTCTATAACACTAGCAGTGCCACTTAAAGCTTTTTAATCGCAAAGATCTGAGGGGTACTGCCACTGCACCCGGAACCCTGAGACACAAATAAAGATCGACCCTCCATCTGGTCAGAGGGCGTCCTAAACTACGTTTGCCCAGACATGGTCTCCACTCAAGAACTCGCTTCCCCCATCAGTAATGGGTTCTTCGATAGATATGGCTTTGGGCTCACGTCTCGGCTTCGTATGTCTTAAAGGGCAAAACGCACTGATTGAAAATCTTTGTTTATAAGCTTTGAGATATGGGTGACGAGAACACCAAAAGCTGCCCAGCTAAATCCTCCTTTTAGCTTCCTTCTCGAAGTTATTTCTATCTAATTGCAGAATCTAGTCCAGATAAGGGTACCCTTCTTTTATGTGTACCACGTGACAGGACGAACAAGTCGTGCGCCTGGTGATAATCGACACGCCTATCTATGACAGTTGTTGTGCCTTTCAGAGCTTTAAATCACAAAGATCTGAAGAGCACTGCCACTGCGCTCGTCACCCTGAGACATAAATTGGCAAGTCCCATCTCCCTGTAAACTCACCAGCACCCTTAGCCTTCCTAAGCAGAACGTAGTAATGTTCACATTAATGCTTGGCGGCAAAAATAGGTAAGGTGGCACTACTTCCCTGGACGAACTCTTTCACAAGGACCTCTACTGCTACTGTATTTGAAACAACTTCAAGAAAAATAAAGCTTATATAACAGGATCAAACTCAGCTCATGCTTTACATACATTTTTTTTCCACACTGTATATTGTGTTCGTGTATGTGTGTTACTCATTATGGCATAATTATCTAAATGCAACGTGAGAAATATTTACGAGTATGTGTCTAAATAATGCTTATAACAACTATATTCAATGTAATGGAATCAGTAATCAGCAATTACTTATCAAGCTGCTTCTGGCTTCCGTGTATTATGAATTATCCAAATCAAAGAGCGTTACTATTGTTCAATAACTGTCCGAAATATTAAAAACAACTTTTAAACAGTTTACTTCCCCGTAATTTAATTTTGGTAAGTAAGTACACCGGGCTATACAAAGGTATTTTTGTAAGTTTAAGAGTAAATAACATCGGCGAACGTTAATAAATACAATGCGAATTTCAACCCAATCATAAATCATAAAAAGTGTAATTGTGGATACATAGTTTCGTCTCACGTGTTGTACGTATGTATTGTAATTAGAGTCCGTGTGTTATTAAACGTGCGTTAGAAGACTGAAAATATAGATATTTCTATAAAATGTAATTTGTACGTACGTAATAACTATGAGTAAACGCTGCTATCCAGTATTCCACATTCTTAACCTGATGAACCAGAATGCGTAGGTATTACAATGATAATTATCTGTTCTGACCATGATCTGTATAATACAAGACTTATGACAGTTTTAAAAGATTCCTACATTTCAGTCCACGCTCTTGATTTTGTTATGCTTAATTATTTTTCTTTTTTATTTATTTATTTGTTAATTATATTTAAATAAGCAGTTTACTCTCTTTTGTATAATACCAAATGACGGGACGAACAAGTCGTCAGCCTGGTAGTAAGCCACAGGCCTGCCCATAACAGTTACAGTGTTACTCAGAGCTTTAAATCATAAAGATCTGGGGGCACCGCCACTGCGGCCGTCACCCTGAGACATAAGTTGACAAGTCTTATGTGCCTGTAATTTCATCGGCACCATTACCCTTCACAACTGGAACACAGTAATGTGACCATTACTGCTTGGCGGCAGAAATAGGTAAGGTGGCAGGTCTTTCCACGTACTTGTCCAGGTAGCAGTAGACTGCTACTAAAATTTTTCTAGGTGTTACTGTGTACTGTAGACTAGGCTGTACTCTATGAGTAGAATTGCTGGCTGAATGAGTTAGTTTGTATTTAGAATGCTTTCGAAGAAATGAAATAAGAAGATCTTGACATTAATATTAATAAGATTATTGATTTGTAACCCTAAACATGTAAAATGGTAAAATAAACCAAAGTTTTAAGATGATCCCGGTTTTATATTATTAAAAGTACCTCTCGCAACGCATCCTGAGCTACAGCCCTCTATTATAGTACTGTTTGTAGTGAAATGTTGTGTATAGCGTTAATTGGATTGCTTGATTGAATTCTGTTGGGCAAGCACGACTGAGCGCGACT